CATTACACTTTATCCTCATGATGTAATTTTAAAATAAATTTGAAATCTTCATTTTAGTGAAAATCTTTCTAAAATTAGATTATCCTTGATGAAACATGTCATCTTTATGAACACTAATTATTAGGGTTGTTATTCTGTTGTTGCACATAAATGCTTCTTAGAGCATAGGTTGATTTATAAAAATAGAATTAATTCTTTTTTTTAATGAATGGTGAAAAGGATTGATTGCTTTGTTGCCCACAACCACGTACTCACAGTTTACTGAGAGACAGACCTTGGTGTAGGTCAGTATCTCACTTTCTCTAGTTTAGGTGAGGAGTTCTTGACACATTCACAGTAGCACCAATGGTATTCTTCGGTGAGATGTTTCTCAGATAACGCTGATAGATCGTCATCTCTAGAATTTTTGCTTAGAGGCAGTTTTTTGTATACATTTCCTTTGAGTCAGTTTTCTTGAAGTATTCAACAAAATAATATGCATAGTAATTTTTAACTTTCAGGATTCTTTTATTTTTTTGTATTTATTTATTTATTTATTTATTTATTTATTTATTTATTTATTTATTTTTATTGCGGTAACATTGGTTTATAACATTACATAAATTTCAGGTGTACATCATTGTATTTTGATTTCTATGCAGTCATGTTCACCACCCAAACTCTAATTACAGTCCATCACCACACACGTGCCTAATCGTTTCCTTCGCCGTCCTCCCTCCCCTCTTCCCCTCTGGTAAACACCAATCCAGTCTCTGTCTCTATGTGATTGTTTGTTGTTGTTTTTATCTTCTACTTATGAGTGAGATCATACGGTATTTGACTTTCTCCCTCTGACTTATTTTGTTTAGCATAATACCCTTAAGGTCCATCCATATTGTCACAGATGGCTGGGTTTCATCGTTTCTTGTGGCTGAGTAGTATTCAACTTTCAGGATTCTTTACGGCGTTTCTTAAGCCATTCTGGCCAATGAATATAACTCATATCCTTTAACTTATTATTGCTCTCTGTTTATCTTGCTTGGGGTTTATAGGGATCCTTGAACATATTTTGTCTTTCATCAGATTTGCAAAGTTTGTAGCCATTGTTGCTTCAAATATTACATCTACCTCATTCTATCTCCCTTCCTAGGACTCCAGATTCTGTGTGTTAGACCTGCTCACTGTATCCTCAGACTCATCTCTTTTCTTTTCTACTTTCTATCATTTTTGTAGAAACATTTTGAGTCCTAGAGTAATGCTGTCTTCTTCCAGAGGGTATTTTCATATACTCTGTCAAGCAGTCTAAGAACACCTTACACCATTTTTAAGGACTAAGATGACTTGAAACTGGGCTCTAGTCCTTGTGTTGTTGATCTGTAGTTTTAGTCTATTGTTGACAGAGAACATACTTTGTATGGTTCAATACTTTTAAATTTATTGAAACTTGTTTTGTGGTCTAGCATATTTTTTATCCTGGAGAATGTTCCATGTGTGCTTGAAAACAATGTGTATTCTGCACTTATTGAATGAAGTGTTTTATAAGTGCCAGTCAGGTATTGTTGATGGAAATGTTTTTTCCCCCTAGTTTTATTAAGGTATAATTGAAAGAAATGTAAGCTATTTAAAGTGTGCATTGTGCTGATTTGATGTATATATACATTGTGAAAGGATACCTCCCATCTAGTTAATTAACACATCCATCACCTCACATATTAATCTTTTTTTTGTGAGAACGTTAAGTTCTACTCTCTTAGCAAATTTCAGTTTTAATTATACAATACAGTGTTATCAACTATATTCATCATGTCCTACATTAGATCCTACATTATGTCCTACATCATGTCCTACATTAGGTCCATCCATGTTGTCACAAATGGCTGAATAATGTTGTTAAAGTCTATATACTTGCTGATCTTCTGTCTAGTCATTCAATCAGTTATTGAGAATGGGTTATTGATGTCTCTAACTTACGTTGAATGGTCTGTTTTTTCAATTGTGTCATGTCAATTTTTGCTTCATGTATTTTGGGGCTTTGTTGTTTGTTGTTTATACATTTATTATTGTTGATTTTTCCTCATATATTGACTTTTTTATCATGATGAAAGTATCTCCTAGTGTCTGGTAATATTTTTTGTTTAAAGTCTATTTCAGCTGATAGCAATATAGCCACTCAAGTTCTCTGTGATTACTGTTCACATGGTATATCTTTTCCCATTCCTCCACTTTCAGCCTCTTTGTGTGTTTGGATCTAGGTGTGACAGCATATAGTTGGATCTAATTTTATCCAGTTTGACAATCTCTGTGTTTAGTCCATTTATATTTAATGAAGTTATAATATGGTTGTATTTACAAATAGCCATTTTACTGTTTTCTCTATGTTTTATATCTTTTTTGTTCCTCTGATCCCCCTTAACTCTTTCTTTATGTGTCAAATATTTTTTAGGATACCATTTTAATTCCCCTTGATTTTAAAAAAATGTATTTGAGAGGTTTTTTTAGTAATTGCTTGACGGCTTACAGTATACCCCTTAACTTCTCACAGTATACTTCAGATTACTAACTTAATTCTGCTAAAATATTGAACCCTTACTCCACCTGGATCCATTACTTCTCCCCTCCTTTGTGCTATTATTGGCATATGTATTACACCTATATATCTCATAAACTCAACATTACAGTATTATAATTATTGCTTTATAGACTCCCAGGTCGTCTTTTTTCTTTTTTTGTGAGGAAGATTGGCCCTGAGCTAACATCTGCCAATCCTCCTCTTTTTGCTGAGGAAGACTGGCCCTGGGCTAACATCCATGCTCATCTTCCTCCACTTTATATGGGACGCTGCCACAGCATGGCTTGACAAGTGGTGCATCGCTGTGCGCCCGGGATCCGAACCAGTGAACCCCGGGCCGCCACAGCGGAGTGCTCGCACTTAACCGCTTGCGCCACCGGGCTGGCCCCTCCCAGGTCTTTTAAAAATGTTGAGAGAGAAACTGGAAAATAGATTTATATACTCTTTTATAGTTACTCACATATTTCAACTTCTGGTGCCCTTCATTTCTTCATGTAAATTTGAGTTACTATGTTGTGTCATTTTTTGCAGCCTGAAGGACTTCCTTTAGTATTTCTTTAAGGCAGATCTGCTATCTCCATTGTTTATGATGAGGTCAGCCATTAATCATACTGTTTTTTTACCTGTATGTATGAGTCATTTTTCTCTTGCTGCTTTCAAGGTCTCCTTTGTCTTTCAGCAATTTCACTGTGTTATGTCTGTGTATGAAACTTTTTGATCCTACTTGGAGTTCATTGCACCTCTTTGATCTATAGATTAATGTTTTTCATCAGATTTTGAAAGTTTTGACCATTATTTCTTCAAATATATTCTGCCTCCCCTTTTCCTTCTGATACTCCCATTACATTATTTTGAATCTCTTAATGTTATCCCACAGGTCTCTGAGTCTGTTCATTTTCTATAATCTTTTTCATCTCTGTTCTTCAAATAAGATAATTTTTACTAATCTATCTTTAAGTTCACTGATTATTTCTCTGCCATTTTGAATCTTTTGTTGAGCCCCTCTAGTGAATTTCTTATTTCAGTGATTGTAGTTTTCAACTTCAGAATGTCCTATTTTTTTCTTAAAAATTAAAAAAAAAATCTATTTGTTGAGATTCTCTACTTGTTGAATCACTGTTGTCATACTTTCCTTTAATTCTTTAAGCATGGTTCTCTTTAGTTCTTTGAACATATTTTTAATAACTGCTTTGGGAAATGTCTTTGCTAAATTCACTATCTGGGGACCCTAAAGACTCTATTGCCTGATTTTTTCTTTTTTCGTATGAGTCACATTTTTCTGTTTCTTTGCATGTTTCACAATTTTTGTTGAAAATTGTACAATTTAGATAATATATTATAGCAACTGTGGATTATGATTGCATCCACTCTGCCCCTAAAGCTTGTCATTGCTGATTTTTGTTTGTCTAATAACTTAATAGAGTAAATCTGTGAAATCCTTTTCTCCTGTGGCGTGTGGGAATGAATGTTTCTGCTCAGTTTAGTGTTATTGTTTTTAAGGTTGCTTTCCCAGTGGTTACTCCTTATGTCAGCCAGTGATTGGTGAGAAATTGTGCTCAAAAACATAGAGAGCCAGTGAGGCTTTTCCCTTCTGCTGATAGATCTGTGTGTAGATTGGGAAATGCATTCAAATACAAAGAATTTTCAAATTTGCCTCAGTTTTATGTTCCCCTGAGACTTCTTGTGTCTCCAGCCAGGACTATGTGGATAGTTTGGGGTCTTGCTAGTCTCTGCTGCCCACGCATACAGCCTCTGTTTAGCCAGGAATACATGGAGAGTTTATCAAGTTCATCTATGGCTGGCTGTCCTCCGAAATCTCTTTGTTAAGTCTCCTAGTAATCTGCCGGGTTGCTTGTTTCTTGCCCCAATTTGGACTGCAACCTCACAGTTACTTGGGTAGCTTCAGAATTTTCCCTTTCACTTCTGGACATAGGTTTTCTATTTTCAGCTCCGAATCAACTCAACCCCCTCTCTCACCATAGCTGCTAGTTTTCATGGCCTGTTCTATCCTCGTAGAACGACCATACTGACTTAACTGATGGGGAGGAAGAGTAATGGGAGCTGGCCAAGGAAACAGTGCCACAGACTTCCGCTGTTCCCCAGTTCAGTAGAGTTTCATGAACAAACACTTCTCAGTTTATTGTCTGCCTTTGGTCAGTTTCTCATAATCTGAGATGATTGTTTTTGACAGTTTTTTCCCAGCTATATATGTGCTTTTGCAGAGAGGATTTGCCAGACTCCTCACTCCATCACGCTGGAAGCTTCTTTTGCTTCTTTTTGGTGTTTTTTTGAAATGTTTATGTTTTTTCATGCAAAGACCTACAAAATATTGCATAAAAAGCATATTACTTTAAAGTCCATTTTAAATTTATTTTCTAAGGCACTAATTTCAGTCCATCTCATGAAGATTATAATTAATAATGACAGAAATTAAATCTTTTGATTGTTGCAGATTTCGAGTTCCACCTATAAAGACAGGAATGAGGAATACAAAAGACAGTTCACACATCTACCTGACACAGAGAAGTTGATAGCAGGTAAAAAACACAGGAAGTTGCCAAAAAAACAATTTGACCACCTCGTTATCAAAATAGAACTGACGAGTGACAATATTTGTGGGAAATTTAAGCCTTTGTGCTAGACAGAAAATATTTTTTCAGATAAGCAACATGTTATCATTTCTGATTAGACGATGTAAAACTAAGTTGTAATTTGGGGAGGAGTGATTTCTGACTAATTAAAAATATTAAATACTACCTAAGAAAATAGAACTAAAAGGAAATGATTTGTCATAATTTCTTCCAGTGTTTGTTTCATATGGTTTTGTAGGGAAAATTTAAATTTGATGTTCCCCAGAACCTTTATATGACCTTTCCCCAGAAAAAATTACTCCTTAATGGAGTATAGAGCAATTTTATAAAATTTTCTAGGGCTGTGTCATTACTCATGTACTCTTTCAGATAGATTATTTTTGAAATAGACTGTAAGAGGAAAAATTTAGTCATTTTTCTTACAAAAGTGCTTTCTTTATTTTTTTATTGAAGTATAGTTGACATACAATTAGCTTCAAGTTTACAACATAGTGATTCAATATTTATATATATTATGAAATGATGACCACGGCAAGTCAAGTTACCATCTGTCACCATACAAAGTATTACAATATTATTGACTGTATTCCCTATGCTGTACATAAAAGTGCTTTATTTTTTTTATTTTTGGTGAGGAAGATCAGGCCTGAACTAACATCCATGCCAATCCTCCTCTTTTTGCTGAGGAAGACTGGCCCTGGGCTAACATCCATGCCCATCTTCCTCCACTTTATATGGGATGCCGCCACAGCATGGCTTGATGAGCGGTGCGTTGGTGTGCGCCCGGGATCTGAACCCGGGCCGCCAGCAGCAGAGTGCGTGCACCTAACCACTACACCACGGGTCTGGCCCCCCAAAAGTGCTTTATTTTTGATATAGGCTTAACATAGATTCTTTACAATCAAAGTATAGAACTAGGTTTTAGTTTTAATATATATTTCGTTTAAACCATTTATTCATAGAAATTTCTCAGGTTTATGGTACTGTTGGGCAATATTCAATACAACGTAACTGAATTTCTAGATGGTTCAGCTCAGTACTTTAAATATCATAATAATGAATTAAAACAGCTTTTATGAACATTTGAAAGTAACACATTCTCATGATAAAATGTTCAAATACTACATAAGAGCATATAGTGAAAAGTGAGTGGTCCTCCCAACCAAGACCACTGCAACATTCTTCCTGGGCGATAACCACTTTTGGTAATTTCTTATGTATATTTCCAGAAATTTTCTTTATGTATTTCAAGGAGAATATACATATATTCCTAACAGAACTTAAATGGGAGCACACTGTGCTTACTGTTTGAGTCTTGTTTAGAGCTCTTTCTATTAGCACTACCATGGATCCACTTCATTCTTTTAATGGCTGCCTAGTACTCAATTGAATGAATTTTGTACCTTAATTTATTTAACAAATTCCCTATTGAGGGACATTTTGATTGCTTCCTGTCTTTTACTATTACTACTAATGTTACACTAAACCTGCTTGTACGTTTGTTTTGGCACATATGTGCACACATATTATAGGATAAATTCCATGAAGTGGGATTGTGCCAAAAAGGTAATGAGATTTTAAAAGGTTACTGATGCCAAGTTACCCTCCAAAAAGGCTGCACAAGTTTTCATTCTCATCCACAGCATACGTAAGTACTTGTTTTTGAGACTAGTATTACCTAAATACCAAAACCAGACAAAAACATTGTAAGAAAAGAAAACTAAAGACCAATATCTCTCATGAACGTAGACATGAAAAGCTGAAACAAACTATTAGCAAATCAAATTGAGCAATTTATAAAAAGGATAATTGATCATAACCAAATGAGAGTCATTCCAGGGATGCAAGGCTAGTTCAACACTCAAAAGCAATGTCATTCGCTGTAGCAACAGACTAAATATGAAAAGCCATGTGATCACCTCAATAGATGCAGAAAAAGCATTTCACAAAATTTGACATCTATTTTTAATAAAAATTCTCAGCAAGCTAGGGATGGAAGGGAAACTTCTTCAGTTTCCTTAGAAGCAACTATGAAAAACCTACAGCCAACATCATACTTAATGATGAGAGTGAACGCATTCCACGTAAAATTAGGAACCAGGCAAACATGTCCTCTCTAATCACTCCTTCTCAACATTGTACTAGAAGTTGTTAAGTGTAATATACTTGAAAAGGAAATAAAAGGCATACAGATTAGAAAAGAAAAACCAACTTTATTGGCAGAAAACATCATTCATGTAGAAAATTTCAGATAATCTACAAAAAACCTAGATTGAATGAGTGAGTTTAGTAAGGTCACAGAATTGAAAGTTAATTGAAGGTAAAAGAAAGAGTCAAATTATATATACTATCAATGAACAACTGGAATTTGAATTTTCAAAATACCATTTGTGTCAGACCCTCCCAATGATGAAGTGCTCAGGTGTAAATCTAACAATCGTGCAGGCTCTATATGCTGACAACTGTAAAACGTTGATGGAAGAAGATCTAAATAAATATCTATGGATCAGAAGACTCAATATTGTTGAGATCTCAATGTCCTCAAATGAAAATCCTGGCAAGCTTTTTCACAGATATTAAGGTGATTCTAAAATTTATATGGAAAAGCAAAGGAATGAGGATAGCCAGAACAATTCTGAAAGAGAAGAACAAAGCTAGAGGACACACTACTCGATTTTAAGACTTATGAAGCTAGAATAATCAAGACAGTATGAGATTTTCCAAAGAAGAGTTACACCAATGGAACAGAAAGAAAAGCCCATGTATAAATTCATACAAATATTGTGAGCTGATTTTTGACAAAGCTGCAAATTCAATGGAGAAGAGTTAATCTTTTCAACAAAGGGTGCTGGAACAATTAGAAGTCCATGTGCAAAACAATGCACCTTGATGCATACCACACACTTTATACAGAAATTAACTCAAAATGGATCATAGACCTAAATGTAAAATGTAAAACTGTAAAACTTCTAGAAGAAAATATCTGTGTTTTTCTAG